TCTCCTGATATAATACTCCCTCCACCAGTGCCAGGTCTCTCCTGATATAATACTCCCTCTGAAACTGCTATGTTTATAGAAAAAAAGGTTAACCCTAGATGGACCAGGCACCCAGACCGCCTCATTAAGCTGAAGTGGTCTGCGTGCCTATAGTGGTCCTTTAAGCTAAAGCTGTCTTGGAGGCTATAGTGTCACTTAATTTATTAGGAGTTGGAGAATGTTTTAAAAATCAGCTACATTCTCAACATTTTGCTATTTGCTTTCAGTTCACTAGAGTTTGATGTTTAGTGAATAAGCCCCTACTTGTTTGACTCCATATTATCTCTTTAACCCAATCAGTACAAAAATATATAGAATTAGAACAAACTTCTCATACTCAAACAGTAACTTGTAAGATAATTATTCACTAGCAAACAAAATATTAATAACTAGCCCTTGCAGTAAGTGCCAACAATCACTATATAAATTATTACTCAAGGGCAATACTGCAGATATAGATATGAATTATTATTGATATTATGTTAAAACACATGATAATACTTGAGAAGAAAGCAGAATGATTTATGATGGCAGCAACATTCAATTTTAGAAGATGCAGTTTACAAGATACTTAAAGAGACAGTGTAAGCACCATAACCACTGCACCCCAATGTATTATTCACTGGCAGAGAGTGCAAGCTGACACTTTCCTCCAATAAATGAGTCCCCATAGGGGTAAAACTGGTAGGACTGATACCCAACAGACGGGAAGGCCTGCGAGTACCCACGGGACCCAGGTAAGTGCATATAGCGTATGGAATCCCCTTAAAGGGACTCTGTCTTTTTTATTTTTGGTTCTCCTTTCCTTGCTCCCCGGTATCTTAGTGATTATACTCCGTAATCCCCCCCTTTATTTATTTATATTTATTACCCTTTCTTCCTTGTGCCGGATCTCAATATCCGGAAGCCGCCATTTTGTTCTTTGCCCGTGATGTCTGTCCGTTGATTTTACTGATGGATTATAGGTAAATGTGATTGGTTACTGATAGAGAACCTTG